ATTCTTTACTTAACTACGATTACAGATAGTAAGCATGTTTTCATTAATATTTGTTGAGTAAATTCATATCTTCGGTGGCTTAATTGATCTGAGTTATATTCGTTACATTAACTACGATTACAGTCGGTAAGCATATTTTCATAAATATTTGTTGAGTAAATTCATATCTTTGGTGGTTTAATAATCTGAGTTATATTCTTTACTTTAACTACGATTATAGACTGTAAGCATATTTTCATTAATATTTATTGAGTAAATTTATATCTTCGGTGGTTTAATTTATCTAAGTTATATTCTTTACTATAACTACGATTACAGACGGTAAGCATGTTTTCATTAATATTTTTTGAGTAAATTCATATCTTCGGTGGTTTAATTGATCTGAGTTATATTCTTTACTTTAACTACAATTACAGACGGTAACATATTTTCATTAATATTTGTTGAGTAAATTTATATCTTCGGTGGTTTAATTGATGAGTTATATTCTTTACTTAACTACGATTACAGACGGTAAGCTTATTTTCATTAATATTTGTTGAGTGAATTCATATTATCGGTGGTTTAATTGATCTGAGTTATATTCTTTACTTTAACTACGATTACAGACTGTAAGCATATTTTCATTTATACTTGTTGAGTAAATTCATATCTTCGGTGGTTTAGTTATATTATTTACTTTAACTACGATTACAGACTGTAAGCATATTTTCATTAGTATTTTTTGAGTAAATTCATATCTTCGGTGGCTTAATTGATCTGAGTTATATTCTTTACTTTAACTACGATTACAGACAGTAAGCATATTTTCATTAATATTGTTAAGTAAATTTATATCTTCTCTGGTTCGATTGATCTGAGTTATATTCTTTACTTTAACAACAATTGCAGACTGTAAGCATATTTTCATTAATATTTTTTAGTAAATTCATATCTTCAGTGGTTTAATTGATCTGATTTATATTCTTTACTATAACTACGGTTGCAGACTGTAAGTATATTTTCAAAAATATTTGTTGAGTAAATTCATATCTTCAGTAATTAATCTGAGTTATATTCTTTACTTTTAGCGGGTAAGCATATTTTAATTAATATTTGTTGAGTAAAATTGATATCTTCGGTGGTTTAATTGATCTGTGGTATATTCTTTACTTTAACTACGATTACAGACAGTAAGCATATTTTTTCATTAATATTTATTAAGTAAATTCATATATTCGGTGGTTTAATTGATCTGAGTTATATTCTTTCCTTTAACTACGATTACAGACTGTAAGCATATTTTCATTAATATTTATTGAGTAAATTCATATCTTCGGTGGTTTAATTGATCTGTTATATTCTTTACTTCTAGGGAGTAAGCATATTTTCATTAATATTTGTTGAGTAAATTTATATCTTCGGTGATTTAATTGATCTGGGTTATATTCTTCACTTTAACTACGATTATAGACTGTAAGCATATTTTCATTATTATTTGTTAAGTAAATTCATGTCTCTGGTGGTTTAATTGATCCGAGTTATATTCTTTACTTTTAGGGTGTAAGCATATTTTTATTAATATTTTTTGAGTAAATTCCTATCTTCGGTGGTTTAATTAATCTGAACTATATTCTTTACTATAACTATGATTACAGACGGTAAGCATATTTTCATTAATGTTTAATGAGTAAATTCATATCTTCGGTGGTTTAATTGATATGAGTTATATTCTTTACTTTAACTATGATTACAGATTGTAAGCATGTTTTCATTAATATTTGTTGAGTAAATTCATATCTTCGATGGTTTAATTGATATGAGTTATATTCTTTACTTTTAGTTGGTAAGCATATTTTAATTAATATTTGTTGAGTAAAATCATATCTTCGGTGGTTTAATTGATCTGAGTTATATTCTTTACTTTAACTACGATTACAGACGGTAAGCATATTTTTATTAATATTTGTTAAGTAAATTCATATCTTCAGTGATTTAATTGATCTGAGTTATATTCTTTACTTTTACTACGATTGCAGTCGGTAAGCATATATTCATTAATATTTGTTGAGTAAATTTATATCTTCGGTGGTTTAATTGATCTGAGTTATATTATTAACTACAATTATAGACTGTAAGCATATTTTCATTAATATTTGTTGAGTAAATTTATATCTTCAATGGTTTAATTGATCTGAGTTATATTCTTTACTTTTAGGGGGTAAGCATATTTTCATTAAATTTTTTGAGTAGGTTCATATCTTCGGTGGTTTAATTGATCAGTGTCATATTCTTTACTTTAACTACGATTACAGACGGTAAGTATATATTCATTAATATTTGTTGAGTAAATTCATATTATAGGTGGTTTAATTGATCTGAGTTATATTCTTTACTTTAACTACGATTATAGACTGTAAGCATATTTTCATTAATATTTGTTGAGTAAATTTATATCTTCAATGGCTTAATTGATCTGAGTTATATTCTTTACTTTAACTACTATCACAGTCGGTAAGCATATTTTCATTAATATTTGTTAAGTAAATTTATATCTTCGGTGGTTTAATTGATCTAAGTTATATTCGTTACTTTACTACGATTACAGACTGTAAGCATATTTTCATTAATATTTGTTGAGTAAATTCATATCTTCAGTGATTTAATTGATGAGTTATATTCCTTACTTTTAGTGTGTAAGCATATTTTTATTATATTTGTTATTTTAAATAATTACATTTTTCTATTTACTATTAGCTCTAATATTTTGAGTGATGATATATTTTGATTACTTAGGTAAATGCAACCGATGTAAAAAAATAGTCACTGATTTCTGGTGTCATTCTTGCAACCCCTTTCGTTTTAAAGAAGAATTTGATAAATGGACAAGCGGAGATAAAGGTGTTGATAGTTTCATACAAAAAGTACAATTAGAAGCAACAGACAGATTTAAGACACTTGAATGGATTCCATATGAAAAATTAGAAATTATTGAAAAAATTGGGGAAGGTGGTTTTGCTGAAGTTTATTCGGCTGATTGGAAGGAAGGACCCATCTTATATTGGAGCAAATATAATCGATGGGAGAGATCCGGGGAAATAAGGGTAGCACTAAAATGTTTAAAAAGCTCTCAAGAGATATCTAAAGAATATTTGGAGGAGGTAATAATTATATTATTAAATATTTATTAGTGATCATTTATAAACTTATATAAAATACCTTTCTAATAACAAATTTGACATAAAATCTAGGTAAAAAACCTTCATAAATTAAACAATAGTAGATCGCAAATTACCAGATGCTATGGTATCACAAAAGACAAAAAATCAAACTTTATGATTGTTATGAAATTTGTTAATAATACTAAGGCGATTCACGAGATATCGTGGAAAGAGAAGTTCAAGCGTTTACATTATGCTGCACTTGGATTATATAAAATTCACAACTCCGGATTAATTCACCGGGATTTTCACCCTGGAAACATTCTTTTTTCTAATAATAATGCCGCGGTTTACATAACTGATTTAGGTTTATGCAAACCAGCTAATTCTAAAGAGAGAGAGGATAAACTATACGGGGTTCTTCCTTATGTAGCGCCTGAGGTTTTTCATGATAAGATACATACAAAGGCTGCAGACATCTATTCATTCGGAATGGTTATGTGCGAAGTATTTTCTGGCGCCTCTCCTTTTAGAAATGTTGATTGTGAAAATGAGGAAGAAAGCAAAACCCTTGCGATTGAAATCTGTAACGGGAAGCGACCAGAAATTCAAGATCTGCCCCCTTTAATAGCTGAATTGATAAAAACATGTTGGGATGCTGATCCAGCAAGGCGACCATTCGCAAAGGACTTGTGTGAAATTTTAAATAATTGGGAATATTTTGCATCCGATTCCGAACTTGAAAATCAAATTATTGCAAGTGAAGAGAATCAGACGCGTCAACCACTTGTTCGTACAAGTGAACAAATTCATACAAGTCAAGTTCTTCGTACAAGCAAACTTCTTGATTTTAAAAATCTTCCACAACCCAAAAATTCCGAAATTGAGATGGATTTAACAACTCAAGAGCAAAATCTTAATCATGGCCGAAATTAATGTCCAAGGTAAATAAGACATATACGAAATTCTTTCAGCCAAAATTTTTTCTTCTAAATATAAATTATAAATATTCTCGAATCCTCTACTTTTACCTTGTTGTATCGAAAAACTTTGTATAAGATTGTGTAATGAAATAAAAGTGCATTCTATTGTACTCTTCAGAATTCTGGGAATATTTTTAACCCCAAAGTAAATGCACGTTGAGTTTCATTGCACAAATAAACAAACTAAAAGTTATGGCACGAAGAGTAAATTTTCACGACGAGAAACAAAACGAATAAAGGCTTTATAGCGTAAAATATATGCTTAAATTTGATATAAAGATTGTTCGATAAATAAAGTCGAACTTTGAACAGATAATTTAATTAATTGAAAAACCTTTTTATTAAATCGAAAGATTAAAACTTGGAGCATACTAAATATTGAATAAAGATCTCGATTTATGGGTTAAAATTTTTAATTTTTTCTTCCAACAGTTATTGTGTTGTATTTTATTTGTCGCTAGTTATAAAGAAATTCTAAATTATACTGTATTTTCCAAGTAATTGGTTTTGTTTAAATTCGGAGTTGCGATCATCAATCAAGTACGCGTTCTGACAAAGAACACATAATTACTTGAAGAATTTAGTTTAATAATCACATAAAGTATTTAAAGACCTTTATCAAACGACCTCACGATTTCGAGCTATTCATTGCGCTAAACATTCTTAATTTAACTTCCAAATAACTAACATTTTTCAATGAATCAAAGTGTGTCTCAAGTGTTCTGAGGAAACATTGCCGAGCCTATCTAACCTCTTGAGCTATTGACATGTAGACATGTCTTACACTTAGAGTGTATTGATAATGATTGCAGACTGTGCCATCAATGCCCGTCGATTAATGATCAAGGATACTATGTAAATACCTCCATTTCAGCATGTGGATCCAAAGAATTATGAAAGTGACAGCAAAAGTTGATCTAATGGGGCACTAAGTCACAATAAATTATTTAACAACTATCAGTTGATGATCAAATTCTATATTCGAGAGAACTATTGCCTAATAGTATGCCATCCGAAAATACTAACATGGAAAAAAAGACAGATCAGCTCAATCACCTGTATTATGAGATCGATGTAGCCAGAAAGAAAGGTGGTCAAGCAAACTGGAAAGCTATTCAGAGTTATTTTTTATTCAAAGAAGCTTTGGAGATACATCTGACTTTATTATTATAAGTAATTTATTGCAATTGGTTAATATAAAACTTAACAGTGAAGTAAGGAAGCACCTTCCAGAAAACACTACCCATGATATAGTGTGAAAAAGAACAGATACGGCACTGTCAGAGAGAATAAAATTTGTCAAATTAAATTATTTACAGCTTCTAGTTTCTTTGATTTAACTAAAAGCAAAGTTACTGAGTTTCTTGAGTGCGATATATGGGATGCCTGTAGGTCCTGGGGCCAATTTGAAGGATTTGTTTTTAAATATCTTTTGAATTTCTTCTGTTATTATTGTGTTGATCATTTGTTTATACCATTTACTTGAGATGTGTATTTGTGATTGTAATTCTTTTTTCCATGTGTTGCTGCTGAAGGGTTTTATGTCACAATTTTTGGTCCACTGTTGAAAGTAGTTTTTAATAATTTTCTTGATTTTTCCTGGTTTCAGGATTATTTGTTTCTCTGGCATTTGTATGATGATTTTGTCCAGCTGTACACTTCTTTTAGGATCATTTAGTAGATTATGAATCATTTGTTTTTGTTGATACAGAAGTAATTTTTTCTTCATTGGATTCTTTTTTTGATACTTTTTTCTTGTATGTTTCTGCATAATGTTTTAAAAACCTGTTTGTGGTTTAGTAAGTGGGATTCTAAAAACTGTTTCCATTCTTGTAAAGCATCAATAATTGGTGGTTTTGAATAGGATTGATTTTGATTGTCTGTCTATTTTCTAGTTTCTTAATTACAGTATATTACAGGCCTTTAAGATAAAAGTGGTTTCTATAATTTCTTGTTTTTCTAACTGGTTCATTAGATTTTTGAGTTTAGTAATCTTTTATATGATTTATATTGATAGTTTTTGTTTTCTTCTTATTTTCTTATATTTTTTTATATATTTAAAAAAGATTGTCTATTATAAGATACTATTTCTTTTCTATAATAGGATTGTTTTTAGAAGCTTCAGACTATTGTTGTTTATATTTCTTTGTCAAATTCTTTCCAGTTTTCTGCTAATATATTTTTTCATCTGTATTTGTTATTTGCTTGCTTTTGGAAATGATTCTCTTTCTTTGTATTGTGTTCCAGATTGAATTATGATCAGTTTTGTAGATTGTCTTGTTAATTTTTTGATTTGTGCTGCAGTAATAATCCATAGAAAAGAGGTATAATCCAGATTTAATTAATTCTGCTTTAAATATTGTTCTGGCTTTTCCATGTGTATTGTGTCTGTGGAAATTAATTTTCTTAAATGTGTTGATGTATTGGTTTGTTATTAGTCATTGTATAATGAATCTTGTGAATAAAAATTACATATACTTAAAGAAGCTAAAATTTAACATATTAAGGCCTGGGTTAGTTACCATATTGAAATCTTCAAGTATTATTGTATGCATCTGTAATGTCTTCTCTTTTGTTAAAATTTCTAATAATTTTTTGATATATTTGTTATGTCTTTAGTGTGATGTTGCTGATATATATAAAAGTCTTAATAAAATTGGTAATGATTTTCAAAAACAACAAATTCGAGTAATTATTATTTTAACATCAACAGAATTGAGATTTTATTAAGGTCAAAAAATATTCTTTATACATGTTAGCTTTATACAACATAAAAATAAATAGTTAAATAAATATATATATATATATATAATGCTTAACCTTTGGAAACATATATACTTAATTAATATAAAAAAATATAAAAAAATATAATAATAATAATAATATAAACAATATATATGCTTTATGGCCTTATGCTTCTAATTTGTTTACATTAATTTATAATAATTAATTAATGATATATTGGCAGTGTGGCTTATCATCAGAAATTAGAATCATATCATACACTATATGTATTTGACAATCATCTAGAACTGTATATCAAACTTGTAAGTTGTCAAAACCAAATCAAATACCTTCCAAAATATCCAGGTTACCAAGCACAGTATAGGTCTCATAATGCAATTACAGATCAAAATTGTTATATTTTTTTCTTCTTAGAATTTGATGTTTTTATCAACTCAAATTCTTGGATTTATTTTAGATATTAATAAGGTTCTTTTAGGATTTCCAGGTGACATTATGTAAGAGATATCTAATTTATTTGATAAGATACTGTGACTTGTTTTAAACTATTCGCTTATCTAGAACAAATTCTACTTCATATACTTTTGTTTCAATCTTAAGGATATAGGTGGTTGGTGATAATAATAGTCTTTCAAATTCCTTTGACAATGACTTATATAACTTGAGTAATGAAACAATAAATATAAGATAGATCTTTAAAGTAGCAAGCAATTCTAATGTATGCAATTTCAGATATTAGCTTGTTAATGGTACAGGGTTCAGCAAATCTTAGTATCAACTTCTTTTTGGAATGGTTTTGATTAATGGAATTATTAAAGTTCTTTAAGTAGAGCAATATTTGATCTTCTTCTTGAAATATTAGATGGCACAATATTGATTGGCATATTTTATTTGGCTTTTATCAGTGTTTTTAACAACCTTGATCATAGTGTTCCAGTAATATATAAAATTATCAACTGTTAATACTGTTATTGGTATTGCAAGAGTCAAAGATGTCTTGAAGTATTGTCCACATTCTAACTCAAAAGGTATGAAACCTGTTGATAATTACTTGATATTTTTGTATACTAATTCAGTAACAAAAAGTACTCATTCCATTGATCTTGCTTGTAAATAGCATGTAGGTATAATATTTTTTCCAAGATTCTGTTGAGACATTTTGTCAGTCCATTAGTTTGAGAATAAAATGTTGTTGACATAGTGGCCTTTATACTATGGCTTCGTCATCGTTAGTACCCTTCTCCGTCGGCGTCCCTGGTCTATTCATGCTTCTTTCGGCAAGGACCGCAGGTTTGCTGAGTTTTCTTACTTCTGGTGCTTGTTCTATCTCTTGGGCGCAGACTTTTGTTCCTTCCGTCTTTCTTGCTTCTCTTTCGTTTTCCACCGCCGCTCTGAGCACTCTTCTTGGCTTGGTGGCGTTTCTAACGGCAGGCAACGATAGTATGTCGTTCCTCAGTCTGAACACAAGCAAACATACTGCCACTTCTCTATAATAGTCATCATTAGGATAAAGCTTCTTGAGTAGCTTTCCAAACCTTCGGACATACTCGGTTACTGCTTCGTCCTTCCTCTGCTCAAAATTCTCCAATTCCAACTGCCATTGGCGCCATTGCTCAAGCAACGTGAAATGCTGCAGGAAGGTCGACACGAAGCTCCTTTCGTCGTTACTCTCGTTCCAATAAACAAACTGATCGCAATTTTCTTTGTACCATTCCTTTGCAGTACCTCCCAGGTAATTAATTGCCTACTCCTCTCAATTTCTTGTTATTTGGCCAACCGTTGAATTCGGCGGCCTTCTCGTAACGTTTCAACCATCATTGCGGGTCTTCTCCGGCTTCATCCTCAAAGGGAGGCAACCTAGCTCGGCCGACTTCTTTCTTTTCTGGCGCTCTGACTTTTAGGCTTCTTGAGTCGTCATGGGTGTACGCTAATACTTGTAATGCATTTAGCCGTGGGAGAACCTTGGTAGTTATGTCGCCTCCGATTTGGAAATTCATTTTCGTTTTTATACTTCTCATCAGTGTCACATGGGTATGCTAATTCGGGGTCTTGGCTGCGTTTTAGCTATTTATCGGTCGATCTTCTTGCTGCGCCTGGGTCGGGTCGTTCTTCTCAAACTGCCGCGTTGGTGTCTGTAAATAAAAGTAAAGTAGAAATTAGAAATTCGAGTAGTAAAAGGGGTTTTAATAATGAATGGTTTGTTTTTCGTGATATAGAGGTCGGAAAAGTGTCAAAAAAGTGATTGCGAGAAAATATCGGGGGGAGAGTAACAGGACGTCGTCCTTGTACGAATCTCACAGTCACCACCAAATTGTGGGGGTGTAACGGCGAGTCAGTCGCTCAGGCAGACAAGGTTTCGCGTAACCACGGATAGGATTAGTAGTATTTAAGGTGAAGGAGGCGTGTTTAGATTTGGTCGAGTAATTTATTGTTATAACGGGTCTTCCTTCTTTATTAAAGCTTATCTCTTTCTTTTTATACATCTCTCTTTATTTACAGAGGCTAGTGCGGCTATACTTTACTAACAATAGGTAAGCTAGGTCTTTTATTATATAAGTCTTTTCTCACAATCACTTCCTTCTTTTCCCCCACATTAGATAAGCGTGCATCGCCATCTAAGAACAGGTTTTCCGCGATACCTTCGCGACGATCAGACACGTGATATGTGTCGCGTCTCAACTTACCCCCTTACAATACTGTAAATACATTTATATGTACAGTCAACTCAGTCTATGGTCACCTCATTTGGATAAGCAGATTTTGGTGATTATAGATCGAGGTGACTATAAAAAAAATTAAAAAAAATCAAACATATAAGTTTGACATTAACTAAGCGTGAGAAGATATAAAAAGTATTATAATTGTTTTTTTGTGATATATTTTCAATATTTAAAGAAATCAAAAGTCATGCTCTTACTATTAAATTTATTAAATTTATTTACATGAAAATTTTTGCTTGCTAATATCCTTTTCCTGCTGCTTATTTAATTCTCTATTATTACTCGCTTCTCGATTTATTTTTCCTACAGACATCCTTGAAATCATCATTAATTAGTTCTAAGCAATTTATTAAATTTTATATAAGTTCGTAAAAAAATTATTCAAGTATGAATAAATTTCATCGTTAAAATCCGAAGTTTTACATCAATTTACCACATATCAGCCTGTTTATTAGCCTCTTCTTTATCAAGTTGAATAGCCCAAGACTGATTTTACTGGGTCTTCAGGACAAAGGTGAGTGCAATAAAATAAAAATTGATAAATATGGTTTTCGCTTGATCATGAATTTAAATCTTTCACTTACCGATACATCTCAGCTTTATGGTAGATTTTAATAGCCTGATAAACCTCCCCACATGCTA